TAATACTAAATCATCGCTGAATGTGTTTCGTTTGTTGCTCGTTTCCTGGCTATAGGATTGGGCAAAATTTAAAGGGGCCACCTCGTCTTCGCCTTTCACGTAGGGCCGCACTGCATCCGGCCTTTCAGCACTTACGCCGCGTAAAAGGCGCCCGTTCAATGCGCTTTTCAGCATTGACAATGCTTAACCATCCGATATTAGCACACATGCAATTGACCACTCGTGAACGAACTACCAAAAGCTCAGCAAGATCCTTGAGGCGAAAGCCATTTTGAGTACACGACTATACTGTACACCTAAGCCTCCATTATTCATTTTCGTGGCTGTCGTTAGTATCACTTGTCCACTCACTTTCTACTAAAGCCGCGAACTTAAGTGCTGTTTCACCTTTGGGGTTAAGCCAATAGTAGCTTTTACTTTCGAATCGGTAAGTACGGTTCAAACTGCTTACGTTCGATTCACTTCAATACTCACAGTTCCATGTGAATCGAAAAACCTCGTGAATCGAGTTTCTTGGGTTAATTCGGTTCACTAAATTTGTCCTGAACTAAGGTTCACTTCAGGCTCCTTCAGGCCGTGAAGGAAACTGTTGTCAGCCAGGAAGGGTCGTCCGATAATCCGTCTAGTAAACTTGCAACTGCAAGTTTGCATGTTTACGGGACGCATTAAGGTTCGGTATAACAAATTACTCTCTGAGACAGATTTTATTTGACTGATATCACTACTTTCATAGTGAAGATCCCGAAGCTGGTACATCGTTCGGCATATCTAACTTCAGCCCCAAGTGTATGCAGCCAAGTGTTGAGAATGCACACGCCCCAGCACAGCACGAACAGCAACCAACTCTCAACAGAACGCCCTGCATGTACTGAACAGTAGCGTTGACGTAGAAACATACTGCTACCATTGGGCGACATGCATAGCCGCAGCGTATGGTCGGCCACCCCCGTTGCCACTGCGAATGATACCCTACTGAGAATATCAAGAATAAACCATCGAGTGCGTTTGCCGTGCTTATTGGATTTATAATAGCACCCCAACAGCTCGGCGTTGAGAACCGCTGCATTCTTATCAATGATGATCGCGTAGCTGCGTAGGACATGCTCAAATAACAAAAACTCTCACATATAGGTGATAACCTGTAAGTAGGGATGCATTACTCGGCATTCAATACCACATGACATACGGACTCGCATCCAGCCACGCGGGTACTCTAAATTTCCACTCAAACTAATTTTCTTGGAACTCATCAAATTTACTTGACATTAAGGACAGTCCGACCAAGGCTAAGCAAAATGCAAACTAGTGGTCTAATACTTGAAAGGCATTTGGCGTCCTATATGACCATTAGCCGTCTCGGTTAACTCCATACTCAAAGCATATTCGCCCAATAACTGCGAGCACACCAGACCTGAAGCCATGTCTTCGAATTTACCTCCTGGAAAATACCATATAGGTAAAGACCGCAAGACTGTTTGTTAAGGGCATTATGGCGATCAAGTAAAAATACCGTTTGGGTTCATTAGACAATGTACTCGACGTTCTATAGTTCTGTTGCTGCTCAACTAAATCAACGCATGAGTCTCTAGGTCACCATAAGGCGAAAGCTGTACTACATGCTTTACTGGTACATGCGGTACATCAGTATAAAGCAACAGAAAGCGAGGTGCGTTATCTGAATTCATTAATATTTAACATATTTAATGTGCTCAGATTTCCCCCAAATTGGCATCTCGTCACCAGCAATCTCTTAATTGTAGAGACGATGGTTCTGGACATAATCCAAGATCATCTTGGCAAGATTCTGATCGTCACGAATGATTCCGTGTCCAATTGGTTCGTTGATTGTGTCCATGGTATAGTCATCCCACTTTTTCAACATCTTACGCTGATACTTGGTGTCTATCAGCATATTTTCCTAAGTTGCACTGGAGAAAGGTCCCCATAGCCATTTTCCATTTATTGTTGGAGCTCTTTCTTCGGCATCAGCTGTCTCGTCACTCCGAAGAGACCTTTTGCCCCAAGAGTGTTTGGCCAGTGATGGCCGAGTTAACACTGGGTGCGAAACATACCGATACCAGCACGAAAATGATGAAGTTAAGGCGCATGAGAGCTGTTCAAGAGGTTGTGGCCAGGACCGGCTGAGCTGTTAGGGATCGAGTCGCAAAGTGAGACAACGGAAGAGTAACTTACTGACCAAAACGTAATGTACTCACCATGACACCACAATTTAATGAACACTTGAATGAGTGGACAGTAGTTGGATACGGTATGCTCAATTTGTAATCCAGCAATTTAGGATTACGGACGCTTCATTTGCAAGCAGTGTCACGTGAATACAACTTCATGTTTTGATTCAAAAAGAGAAAGGAATAGTAGAAAAATGCCATCTGCTACAATTTTGACAGTGACGGCTCGTCGAATGCGCGCACAGCTGCAGCGCCTGCGGAACAGACGCAGAAGATTCGCTAATAAATACCGGCGTCATTCTTGCGGGTGTACACAAATAGCTATACAAGAAGAATAATCCAGCCTTTGTGTAGCCCTGTAATAGTTGAGTTATTCTCGCTGGAGAGGCATTCACAAAAGAAATAATTTAATGTACAGCACATCGCTTCTTCAGACAAACCACCAGGCACAAAATTTACACACACGATGTGCTCGTTTAGTGAAAATCGGTGGACTATGGACTCAGGCGATATTTGCGAATTAAAGTCTTGGGAGTTATCCCCGGCAACTTGTAGCGTAAGCCATCATCTAGAAGGCTACAAGTTCTGTTGCAGGCAGGGTGGCTTGTTTTTCTACAACGGCAATATAGAAATTTAAAAAGCGATCCAATGAAGCCAGGTTTTTGGCACATGTCGATAATACCATTAAGAGACAAGCTTTTCAAAGTCTCGTTAGTCGGCTCTCACGCATGCAATGAACATAATCTTACTATAGTAAACGAACCCTACACAATTTTTTCGACACGCGTCCTAAAGGTGCTCTAAATGTTCAAAACTCTCCTATATATAATTCTCTCAACAGGCCTGTGCAATTGCGCGGCTCAAAGCGGAGCTCATTGCTGGACTTTATTCGCGGGCCAGCTTCGAGGGCATCCCCCGCGGTTTGCTTTGGCTGCGCGCGTTCCACCCGCTCACTTTAGTCGGCATTGGTCACATCAAATCAAATTTGGAATTCTAAAAATCCTAAAAAGTCCAAAATTCTGATTAAAAAGAGTCCCAGTCTTCTTTCTCCGTAATATGCATTGCAATACATGGTTGGTCAATAAAATGACATTATTGTTTTTTTTACCGACCCACTTTTTGGGGGTAAGCTAATATTTTAGCGCCAGAAATGACAACCCGCCATCGTAAGTGTGTGGAAAAGATGCATTTTTTAATTTACGGAGAGGAGTATTTTTCAAATGTTTGTAAGGGTATCAATTTTACGAATTCATTCACTGACGAATAGCAAAACAATTGGTGTAAAGAGTATATGATTATAGTGAACTATACAAGGAAATTCGGATCCCTGGTAGACTCTAAAATAATATCACAGAACTAATTTCAGCTCCATATTCATTTGAAATACCTTTTTGAGACTTACCTCGGTTGTGGGTTTTTCTGTAGCCATACCAGTGTTTGGCCCTTAGTGCAGAGTCCCCGCAAAAGAATTCGCGTAGTGTACTGTGAGTTTTCGGTAGTGTACCGGATTCCATGCATTTCCAGCAATCACGGGATTCTTGCAACCAGCGTAATTACATTAGCATCAAATCTCACACAATAGCCAATCGTATCGCTCTGAACTATATTTTGTGTAAACACGTCCATATTATGAAATGTTTACATCTAAGATTACCCAATGAAACACTGTTAATAATCCTCTGCACACTTTTTTTCGCAAGTAAATTTTACAGATTCACTATAGACGGAGTTCTTAGCTTATATCGGTTGCAGGAAAAAAAGCATGGAATCCGGTACTTTACAGTTTTGCAGAGTGACGGCATCATCCGCGATGATGATGGGAGTTTTATGTCCCATCCATCAACACGGTATTATGCAGTATTCTATCTAAAAAAAAAACACATTTCTCTCAGTGAGGATACTTCCTGTCAACGGAGCTCTTTGTCATTCTTCGTTTTTCATCCATCAGCACACTTGCTTCTCCTCACTCTTCCTCGAATGAAGTTCATCACTCTTCTATCCGTTGTGGCCACCGTCGTCGCTACCGCCAGCGCCAGAAACTCCGTTAATCTGAAACCCGAGTATGACCCCGACTCACTTGATAGCGGAAATTTCGCCCATCTTCGCAAACCCATGTATGATCCTGAGTCACTCGACAGTAACAACATCTATGTCTGCCCTCGGAAATACCGTGTGAAGAAGAAGGACGGCGTTGTGGACGAGAAAAAGTGTTTAGTGCGCCTTGCGGGGTGCGTGAACGACCCCAAGATCACGGTGTCATCGCTTATCGACATATTCGCAGGGGCTAATAATTTTGAGGCCACCTCCACATTGATTCACAGTGGTAGTCTCAACGACTTTATGCTGGAGATCGTGCTACTGCCTGAGGGCATAACCATTAATGGACGTCCGGCCACGACAGATAAAGAAGTCCAAGAGTACCTGGATAATGCTTTGGCCTAATCCATCTCCTAGATCTCTGCCAGAAGAGACCTGTAGGTCGAGAACACCCGACGAGGAATGCTACTTCACAGCAAACAAAAAAAATGATAGAACCGAGCGAAAACCAAACCAACCTGCTTTGTTAGTGTGTTTTTATACTGGCAGTGCTTCGGTACGAAGTAAACATACAGCAACAGGGATTAATTCGTGTTTGTCTGGTGTGTATTATACACAATTTCATGCAATACAAGTTACTAGGGCTGGGATAGGATCTGACCCCTTTGTTCTCTAACTCTCTAGTAACTCGGATACACGCTCATGACTACACTGCAATGTGATAAGACGGAGGCGCCGGAAGATGCTGCAACAATCAAACTATCATTATTATCAGTCCTTTACGTGCTAACATTGTAGAAACTGCTTCAATTTACGCTAAGATGAGATATAAGACGAACGGCGTCGGTATTAATGGCATATATGGAGAGGAAGCAATAACGTATGCGCATTTTACTGAAGAGGCTCTACAGATCTTTGAATAATTAGAAACAATAATTCCCCCGGCCTAATGCATCTACTGCACCTGCTTCACAGCATCAGCATCTGCTCTGTATTCGCGAAGGAGCTACTTTCAAATCGATCAAATGACATGTAGCAGAATATTCCTTGAAAAGTTTCACGCTCACGTGCTTGCTTCGATCATAGTATGCTGAACAGAAAATATAAACCTGCAGACGTGAGAATTTACTTGGCAAAGCTGAGCTTCAAAAATTGCATTTAAAAATGCAATTTTTTGCATCTCAAGTGGGTCATGTAAAAACTTTCGTCAATTTTGAGGTACCGATCGGCTTCCGTAGTCAATTGTGTTCTGCGTCTTGACGTCAGCCATAAACTAAACCGCTCGCCTTGTCACAATTTCGCTTTGGTCGATATATCGGTAAGGACCATCGCGCACATTAAAAACAGATTAGCGCTTAGCGTGCTAGCATCTGTACTGATATACCGAAAAGGACCATCCCACCACATTATCGCCAGGTTATCGTTACTGACGTACTGGTATACTGGGACGTCCATCCAACCGAATTAATCCTGGTACGTAAAATGTGCTAGCAGCTATTAAAGCATTACAGTACTAGTCCGTTTCCTTGCGGTTGAAGCTACAAAATCAACGACGTGGATTTCAAGCTACCAGTAACAACGATTCAGTAGACGCACGTGCCATTTATGACATGTTGTCACTGACAACTTGTCATGGACTGCAGCATAATCTACAAAACAACTATGAAAATCAGTATTGGACTATAATAGTTTCTGTTTTCCCTTTTAAAATAGCGGACGTTCAAGCCTCCTTTGCTTTCTGCAAAAAGCAGTTCAGGTTGCCAGGCTTTTGTAGCGGAAGCTCGATTCTCCTGCATTTGGCACCACTGTGTGGTCTGTAACAGCCTCCGTGAACTCTTGGCCATTGAGCGACAATGTCACATGCACCTGCTCCTCGGCACTATGAGGGAGATCAGGAAGCACAAACGTTGCCGTATGAGCTACTTCGTCGATATCCACCGGTACCACCTAACCGAGCAAAATGTTATGTTAAAAACTCGCAAAAGTGACTAAAATTCAGCGACACAGAACGTACCAGCGAGACTTTTGACTCAGCAGCTTCCAGTCTTACACAAGCTGCGGTAGTAGCGACCACTTTCTCCACTGTCAACACCATTTTCGTGCCAGGTTCTGCTTCGTGAGGGGTAATCCCAGTTATCTCAGGGACCGCACAATACACGAAACTTAGAGCTGTATCCGTAAAGTGTTCACCATCTAACGATACAAAGACCTCAACTTCTTCTCGTGTACCAAGGATCATTCCCTCGGCCATTGCAGTAGCAGTAGCTGTGTCGTCAGGGAACGGCAAAGGTGGAGTACGGAACACCACACGTCGAGTGGTCGAGTTCGCTTTTTTACCTCCAGTAGATTCCTCTGGTCGAACGCAAATCGCAGGAAGTACGACGTTACTTTCTCTCCACTTGAGCTTCACAGCTGCGTCTTGAGTGTCGAAGTGGAAAAAGTCACCAGCCACAGACACTTGTGTACCTCCAGACACCATCCCGACGTTAGGGAACATACTCAGTAACTTTCCGGTGGTAAGTAAACCGAACACTTGAGTTGCTGTTGAGGCGCTTCTTCCTCCGAGTTGCAGCTGAGCTGGTAGAAACGTTCTCCCAGCGTTCATAGAGACCTGGATTCCGCATATAAACCCTGTCTTCGCGTATATCTTCCACCATTCCGAGGACAACCCCTGAGCTTTAGGATTAGTAGGAGATGTGCACTGCCACTCATTCAGACGTGGAATTGTACACGTCACGAAGTTTCCTTCCACTTTGTCTATACTAAGAGTAGCCGACGCAATTGCATTATTGGTTTCATCACTGGCATTAGATAGAGAGTGCACCATTGTCACCAAGAGCTTTGCTACTCCAAGTGGAAGGAGGTTTGACAATTCCAGTGTAATTTTCCGTGGCAGATCGTTAGTAAGGAACGAGTTGGGACTAACACGAACCAATTGAGCATCATGCGCCCAAATTATGTGAGGCTTTATTTGCTCTGGTTCCTCGTGTTTACCAGAGTGATTGTAGTTCTCTTCGTCGTCATCTTCATCATTTTGTCTCGCAAGCGTTGGATCCACACACACTGGTGTAAACATGAGGCCTCCATCGTAAGAAATCTCCAGTGTGAACGGCACAATACCCTCTCCGTTACTGGAAAGAGCAGGTAGAGTTAATCGAAGCAATCTACCAGTAACATCTGAAGAATCATGTCCAGTTTCTTCGTCAACGTTTATTGAAGATTCATCGAAAACTCCAACTGAAACTGAACTCTCAACATTATCCATTGGTACAAGTTGTCCACTGCTTCCATCAATACCACAGCGTACAAAACGGATAATCGGACGTCTACAGATCTCTGGAAGACTACCACATAGTGAAAATGTAAGCTCCTCCCCTCCGTCAAACCGAACGTCGAACACTGACACTGCAGCAACTTGTGGACGCTTAAACACTGTAAAAACTCTGCCGTTTGAAGTAAAATGTTTCCCGTTCATCGACACTTCGACAGCGTATTCTCCCGTCAACCGGAACTTTGGTACTTGACAAACCACCTCCCCTGTAACCTCACAGAATGTTCCAAGCGTGCCGCGTAGTAGTCGACCATCCGTCAATGGCACGAATCGCACTGTAACATTGTCACTAGACCAGAATCCACTGCCGCGTATCCGCAACTCGTATCCACCCGTGTACTCCCCACAAACTGGGACTATTCCGGAGATATAGGTCGGTGCAAAGACGAAGAGATTGCGATCTGTACACACCACTGGCCCGATATGAACGTGCTGTAACAATTCTACACATCGTGGCTCAAACTCGCAGGAATTGTTACCATGCCCCAACTTCCCGTAACTTCCGTTCCCCCACGTGTACAGTTGGTTTTCAGTTGTAATTCCGGCTGAATAACTGCCACCACCGAAAGCTTTTATCCACTTGATCGAACTATCACCTGGCACAGTACCAGGTAAAGCCTTCCCGCCTTTAATTTCAGTTTTCCCTCTTCCAGTCTTCCCACCGTGTCCAAGTTGACCAAACGTGTTAAGTCCCCATGAATGCATCTCACCATTGTTTGTTACCGCTAGAATATGTTCGGCTCCACATGCTAAATCGACGAAAGGTTCACCATCAGACCCTGTATCCAGTATCAAGTTGATTGTCTTCGAAGTAAAGGCCTTCTTGGAGACTGGCCTAAGTGAACTACCACCAAGCAGGTAAACGCTGCCGTCTGCTAGAAGTACCGCAGTGAAGCTATTGCCACAACAGGCAGACACAACGCGAGGTTTACCTAGAAAGAAACCAACGTATTTCGGCCACGCACCGATGCCATTAACCACAGTATTAACCTCTTTCGGAAGAGTCCTGAACACGTGCCCCAGCTGACCTTCGGTGTTCCGACCCCAAGTATACAGATCTCCATTATCCGTGACAGCAGCGGAGTGGTGTTTACCGCAAGATACTCGAGAGAAAAAGAGCTCTGAAGATGTTACGACCCGATGAGGGATACCCGTAGCAGTCGTATCATCCGATTCAGGCCCAGGTGTTGTGACACGGTACTTGTACACATTAGACACGCCATGCTGGTGACCGAGTTCACTACACTGCAATACTGCACCAGATCGACCCCAAGAGAATAGCTGACCGTCTAATGAGAGCGCAACGCTGTAGTTCTTCCCAACTGCGACATGGTGGACCTTAACATCTTTCAATCCTTCCTCCACCAACTGACTCTCCAAGTAGCTTTCTTTGCTGACGGCCCACTCAAGTTCCCACGCGTCCACCAACGCCACAAATCGATCATAACCGCCGCAGATTTCTCGTACCTTGCGTCCCAAGAGACTGTTCACGACTGTGATCTTCCCGTCAGTCTGCTCGCCGCAAGCGTACAAAATCCCCAAGCTGCCTTCCATCTTCCAGAGCTACAGCGACCCTCAGTATATCCTTGAACAACTTTGAGCGAGTCCACATTCGGAGGTAGTTACATGGAACTAATAAAAGAGCGGTCTATTCATCCACAAAAGGTTTAGAGCACTTCACAATTCTACATGAAAATAGGTATTCAACAACAGGTTTATGTAAAAGTATTATGGTGAGTATTACAGTAATACTCATCGGGAATTGCGCAAAAAAATTACGGTAAAACTAAGCGTAAGCATGTAGTTATAAGTAGTACCATGTAAAGTACCAAAAACTAGTACTTCGAAGTAAAGCGCAAGTGAATCGTATAAGCTTAACAGGATTTGTAGAGAATACGGGCTTCACTTACGTCATCCATATTTGATTGACGTTGGCGGCTGTAGGAATTACCAAGTCCAACGTCTTTTTCATCTGATAAGTTGTATCAGATGAAAAAAGACGTTGGACTTGGCAATATTACACTTGATACATGAGCTGCGCGTGACGCCAAACGATGCACCTCAGTGGCATCTCTTTCCGCCGTCACAATGAATTTTCACATGCACATGTAAATTGCTGGAGCGCAAGTAAGATCCTCGTACTACGCCTAATTTTTTCGCAATCATGCAATTAGCCCGTCATCGATTGTTCAAAAACGATGTTATCTGAGAATCTTCACTGTCGTCCATCGTCTCTTCATTTTTCATGGCATACAAAGTTGTAATAATCGAATCGTGTTTTATCATCGAAGAACCTTTCTCGGTGAACCGGACACACTGGAATTTCACTCGCACACACGAAGCTCCACACAGCACACGAACATGCGCGTCGTCTTCACACTGGCCTGGTTCGTTGTCGCGGTCCTTGTGAGTGCCGTGAGCTTCTCGAGCGCTGAAGGTGTAACGATCGACAATGCCCGTGACACTGCCAACATCATTCAACGTCTTAGGGGGAGCCAGAAGCTGCAAAATGAAGAGAGGGTGGTAATAATACCACCCTTTGCCGCCTATTATTACCATCTACATTCGACTCCGGCTGCCTTGGCGCAATCATCGAAAATACTACACGCAGTCGAGAAACATGAGTCACTTCCGAAGGGTGCGAATCGCCTTCTAGCAGTGATCGGTCTTGGCATGGTAACTGGCGTGGTAATTGGTAGTGTCAAATTTGGTGAGCTACTGTCTAAATCCTTTGATGAGTCGGCATGATGCGACCTAATGAAGTTTTAACGAAGAGCCAATGTATTAGATCATAGTTTTAAAAGCTAATCGAGTCCGCAACAAATTATCGATTTCAACTTATCAACTAATGCACTACACGTACATCTCCATATGCACGGTAGTGGTTCTTCCCTTAAATCACTGCCTTGGTAGTGTTTGAATATTAATCCACATAGAATTGCGGTTCCCTTTCAGCAAGTAAGGGTTTACTTGTGTATTAAACAATGGAATGCAATTGTATTTACCGTGGCGATCGCCAGGTTGCAACTAACATGTAATGGGTACTTACACGCCATCCCCGGCTCGACGTTAGATTGAGTCTCAGCATCGCAAGTGCGGAAACACAACATCTGATATGTCTGCTTCTTCGCAGTGTCCGAATTTCTGTAAACCCTCGTCATCACGTTGCAGATAATTATGGTAAAGATTTACAATAAAAGCTTTCGCTGCGAAGTTGATCACTAGATTTCTAAATGGCGAGGGTCATATTTTGCTCTCCTCTTCAGCAATGTCGTTTACCTTTCTGTCGATTTCATTTCTTTCACGGAGGAATGACGCCGGTAACCTTGCTTAATTATCTCAACAACTACTGCTTGCTGAAGTCGAACTACAAGGTATCCTGAATATTTTGGAATTTAATTATTTTGTACTTTACCAATACAGAACGGGTGGTACCGTTGGAAACCGCACAGTACATCTACTGCAGTCTTACATTGAAATGTGCTAGCTAACAGAAACCGATTCATAGCGTTGGCCAAGAGATGGAATAGTCGAGTCGATCTATGAGACAGCTTTAATTCTTCGAAGTGCTTTGTATCAGCTTGATAAATAGCGCAGCACCTAATTCCAAGGAAGATAGAAACGAGATAAAGCCAGCAACTGTCCCGTATTACGAGAAAGTGGAGTTCCGCTCGAAGTAGCATCGTGATACCAACGCCAAGAAACATTGAGGATGCGTTCACCCACATTTCAACCTGGTTTTTCGATCTCTGAAAATATGGCCAAGTGCTAGTTTAGTATTAAAATACTTGTTCATAACATTTTTAACATTAAAATAATTCTAGCAGTACTTTTCGATTTTGCACTTTGGTGAGGTTGTCAATTCATCGCCACTATCCAATAGATACTCGGCAAGCATCAAACCTCTCCATCTCCCGGTTCAGCCGTCTCTGTAGACGGTTAACTATGCGTTAGCGTCGGTATACTTAATGGTAGTATCTTGAGCGATCCTACTACTTCATGCCGCTCACGATAGAAAGGAGGGGCAGGAAGAAGTGCATGTTTAAACTTGATGGTACTCGTTCAAAGGCAAATACTGAAATCTGTATAAGGTTAATACACAAAGTAAGTGAATTCGACACCTAGCTATCAGGAGTAAAATAATAAAAAGAATTCAGCAGAAAACATAGAACAAATTCATGTAATCGCAAGGTGCTGTACTGTATTCCCTTCAGTTTTTTTTTTTTTTTTGGTCATCTCTGACTCCTATATTTTATCAGCCAATCACATTCGAGTAGTCAGTCCGCCCTTTAGACTACACTGCATCAATGCTGCTCCCAACGTTGCTGCTGCTCTCGGCCGCTTGTGCGTGGGCACGTCCTGCTGCATGCAACATCGACGGTGTCCAGATCGATCATGGCAGTGCCAAGTATTTAGTGGGCCGTGCACATCGTCCCGGTAGCATCTTCGCCCGGTGTCTGTTTGGAGCCACGACCTGTTTCGAAGACCGTGGACTGGTGGACGCGCCGCAGTGGATCAATAGCCGGGAAGTGGACTGCTTTGAAGCCACGGAACGCCGTCGCCTGGGTGTAGCCATCATCCTAGAGGAGGATATCTGGCCGGATCATATTGTTTGGTACCGTATCAACGGCTCCTTCTCCGACTACGAACTCGAGGTCATCAACACGGCCGTGGAGCTCTACAGTAAGGCGGACGTGAACGTGACACTAGAGGAATGCGACCCAATATCGAAATGCAAAGGTAAATACGTCAGTATTGAGCAGAACGAGGACGCGTGCTATGGGATGGTCGGATACGTGAACGACGGCAAGCCACAGATCATGAACCTGGGCGAGAGCTGCTTCGCCGGCGGTCCGGGCAACGTCGTCCACGAGATCGGACACGCCATGGGGCTGTACCATGAACACACGCATCCAGATAGAGAGGTTATTGTACTGACAGACCAAAATCTACCTGTCTCGGCTGAAAACTACGCCAAAAAGACGAGTAAGGAGGCGACGCTCAAGCCGTACGACCCCAAGTCCATCATGCACTACGGTCGTACAGCTGGTCTCTGTTTCCCAAAGGCGCAGTACCCGCTTAAGGCCTTTTGTGACGTGGAAACCGTTAAGAACTGCATCCAACCGGTAGCGCAACACTGCAATTCGAGTCGAGATTCGGAGATAGGAACACGTGCGGTACTCAGTGCCGGTGATATCTACACTCTCCGTGCACTCTACGGCTCCAAGGACAACGCGAAGGTGCGTGATGTCAAGATTCCTACACTAAAGTCGTCGACTGCTGGCAGTGTCGGCGCCCCAGATTCACTCTCGGACATGGTCAAACATACGTCCAGGCCAAAGAAAAGTACAACGACCGAAGCGCGGTCTTTAGACCAGCAGTCGTCGGGCTATAAGCCCGGGGATGTTCATCCCGAGAAAGAGGGAGATGAGGCTGAGGTGCTGGAGTGGTATGAGAATCTGGAGAATACCGTCGAGATCCAGAAGAAGAAGTCGAGGTCAAGCTAGAGTTGAACCGTACAGGTTGATTGTTCATACGCATTGTTCACAAATATATTAGCTGTTTGAGTCTCGTTCAAAGGCTAAGGCGTCTAGAGTAATAGCAGGTCCTGGCTGCTCATATCTTTTACAGGTCGAGGAACTTGTAGTGGGCGCACTGGTCGTACGAGTCGACGGCAGATTCGTACGTGACGCCGTCCTCAGTACTGAAACCAGACGTGATCCACGTACCGATGACCTGGTCCTGACCTTGCAGGAGGTAAGTGTTGCCGGTGCTGGGCTCTGTGGTGCCAAAATATTCACAGGCCTTTACGTAGAAGCCGTTGATGCACGAAGAGTTGCCCTTGAGACGGTTGTTGGTGTCCACGACGCCGTCACGGACCGTGTTCATCATCTCGCAGTCGCCGTCCGAGTCACCGGACGAGTAAATAGGGGGCGCACCCTGGTGGATCGGCTCCAAGATGCTGGTGATGATCTCTGCCTTGCCAGGGCCCCACGTGATGGGGTAATTGTCCACCAATTCACCGGTGAATCGGCCGGCGTCGTCCGTCTTGAAGCGCACGCCGAACACGTTGTCGTTCGGCACCATGTTGCCCAGGCCGAACAGGTTGCCCGCCTCAGCGGCGTACAGTTGAGGAGAGGCGCTGATGATGTACACGTCCACTCCAGCGGCACGTAGCGCGCGCATAGTCGACTCCTGTCCGTTAAAGAAGCGCAGACCCTTAGTGTACGAGCCTTCGACCGCCAGGTCACCCGTCGACGTGTAGGTAGGCTCCTCGAGCGCCTGACCCAGGTTCCAGCGGATACTAGAGCGAATGAGCGTCTTGATCTCGTCTTCCGTCATGCCGACAAGCAAGTGAGGGAACACCGTCATAGCGATGGTCTGGGAGCAGTCTGAGTGATCGTCGCCGCCGTCCATGACCTCAAGTCCGTACAGTAGGAAGCCCATCTTGGCGCGGAAGTTCTGGTATTCAGTCGTCTCCTTAATCTCGTCCAGCGTGACGTTCGAGGCCTGAACGTTGCTGGTTAAGTTGTACGTTGGAGCAACGTACGCCTCGTACAGCACCTTGTAGTCCTTGGCGGTCTCAGCCAGAACCGTGGCCAGCGTCACGTCCGTGCCGTTCACGTCCTGGCCGAGCACCGAGTTGGTGCCGTTAACCAGGCAAATGTCGCTGCTGCTGGCGTTGTAGCCCAGCGAGAAGATGGACTCAAAGTTCTCCGGTGTGAAGCGGAAGTTGAGGTTGTCCACCTGGTAGAACACCGACGTGTAAGAGATGTCGCCGAACATGCACGTGTTGTCCCAGTCGAAGACCGCGTATGCCTCACCGTCGCCACGGACGGCGCTCACGTTGGCCAAGAGGTTGCCTACCACCTCGTTGTTGTAGTCCGGAGCCTCAGCGGCGAGGAAGAAGTTGGAGGCCTTGGCGCTAGCAGCCAGGACAGCCGCAGATAGCGCAGCAGCAGCGAAGACGCGGACCATAATTGATGATGACGGGGAGGTGGAGAACTTTCCTGTCCGTGTCGGGGCGAGTTTGAGAATGAAAGGCCAAGAAGCCATCTCCGCCAGCGACCAGCGAGCATCGACTGATGTTCCCCATGTGGGATCGACGGACAGGATGTGGTGAAGCTACGCTCAGCTTGTCAGTGCACTCGCTGTTCAGCAATTCGATGCACGAGAGGCTTGAATCGTTGCTAACGTTGAAGGGCTGCACTTTGGGGGACAAAGCATCCGCGATTTCCCTCTTTTAACACACGCAACACTGGTTTCTGTGCGGTAGGTGGCCTCAAACACGGCGCATTTTCCGCATGGTTTGCCAACACGCAACGTCTCACTTCGCTAGCCGCGCACGAGTCTGGATACCCTGAACGGTAACGTACTGCTCCACCTAGAATTTCCAGGTCTTAGCCATTTACTGCAGAGCAAGCTGCATGTACAAGCAATTCAACACATACTGCGCTTTGAAGCAATGCTATTCATATATACGCAGGCGGAACGAAGAACTTGTCCCGCGTTGATGCGCTAGTGAGCCGGTGAACCGGATACTTTTAGAGTCAGAAGATGCTCCCAATAGTGCGCTCACTTAAAATTTTAAAAGAAAAAAAAATCCAAAAGAGAAGAAAACAACCCGAAAAAAGGAAAAAAGGCCCGGGGAAAAGCGATCTACTGAAGCGGTCAAGATTCGAGTCTTCATGCAGAATCTGAAGTGATCCATTCTGCACCGGATAGCACCGGCTCAGCCGCTGAGTCAGCGGTACTGCACAGCACCAAACCTGTTGAGACCACGTTCCCCGTTATTGCCACAGGTTGTTCATTGCTCCGCAATTCTTTATTCCATTGATGACGAAGCGAAAACAAAGGTGATCTAAGAACGAGGAAATCTCGAATGCACCGTCCTGTTGCTCGTTTCTCTTGTGAGGTGGCGCCTACAACATGGTGTTGGCGGCCCGGTTGTCGGTGTACGTATACTCTTTCATTTCGTAACAATTTTCAGTATAAGAATTCGAAATACATTGCACCTGTTCAAAACGATATGGATACAGAATATCCACTTGATCTCCTCACTCGTAGCAAACTTTTGCACTGCCACACATTGTTGTCGACCATGTTGCGGCTGCTGCGTCCTCGCGCCCACCTCTCTCTGCGCCGCCACACGCGCTGCATCTCCTCCAGCTTCGACGTTCGCCCGCATGAGCTCAGCGCGTCTGGGCAACCGGGTCGCGTACTGTTTGGTGCTAAAGTTGCGGCAACACAGCTGGGTGCTTTAAGTCGCGCCAGTGGCATGCGTAAGGTGCTGCTGGTGCGCGACCGCGACGCTGCCGCCGCCTCGCGCACTCAATACGCCGAGTTCTTGTTGATGCAAGCGGGCGTGCCGTGCTTCCAATACACGTTGGAGCGCGACTGCGCTACACTCCAAGGTGTAGAGCACGCGGCTGCCACGGCGCAGCGCGTAGGCGCCGACGGCGTCGTGGCTTTTGGTGGCGGCAACGCAATGGACACGGCGCGTGCAGTGGCAGTTGTCCTGGCCAATGGAGGCAGCGCCGCCGACTTCGTGGCTGTCAGGGGCGACGACGAGGAGGAGGTGCTTAAGTTGCAGCAAGATAAACTGGACATCACGCCGCTGCTGCTGGTACCGACCATCGCTGGGTCTGGCGCTGAAGTGGCTAAGAGCTCTCTGCTGCTGGAAGAAGATGCCGAGACTAAGTTGCTCTTTGCGCCCGGGAAAGAGATCGTACCCGAGGTGAGGGTACAAGTTTTAGTCAATTCTGTAACGGTCTGACGTGATCATCTGATGACGAACTTGTTGATGTTGTGGCAAGGCGGTGATCATTGATCCCACTTTGATGTTAACGGTGCCATTGCGTCCGACAGTGCAGGGCGCGTTGACAGCCTTGGGTCAGTGTCTCGAGAGCTACTTGCTGGGCTGTGCGGATGACACGACGACCAAGCTGGCACTCGAAGGATTGGAAGCTGTGGCGGGTGCTCTCGCTGCCCCGCTGAAAGAAGGCAAGCTGGATCTCAAGGGCGCTGTGCTGCGTGAACAGTTCGCTATCGGCAGTTTATTATCGGGGATTGCAGCCAACTCGTCGGGCACGGGAGCGGCGCAGGCGTTGGCTGTGTCCATGGGCGGCATCTCAGACTTGCCGCACGCGCAGGTAGCGACCGCGTTTCTGCCGTTCGTGTTCGATCGCTATGCGGAGCTGGCGAGTGAGAACGAGGGCGATCCATTCTTTGACGAGCTGCGTGAGAAGCTGGAGGACGCGGCCGACCGACTGACGGCTGCGAGCGGCTTCCAGGGCGCCAATGTGGCTGCATGGCTGCGTTATGTCGTCACGCGGTTTGATTTGCCCACAGCATCGACACTTGAATTGGAGGAAAGTCTGTTGAATGGGCTGGTGGATCGCGCCGCTCAGTACCAGGACGAGTCGATGCAAGTCTCCCGCAGCGACGACATCGGAGCTATCATGGAGAAGGACGACTTACGTGCGATTATCGATGCTGCTGTACTGGTGGTGGAGCCAACAAAGGAGGACGAGAAGTGATCTCTGAAATTTTAGACTTCATAATGAATGCAGTCTCCGTGTCTTACTAACTTCTTGACTCTCATGGAATCGGGATGTTGGGACTGGATCGCCAGCCTGTGTAGCGACCAATGCGGCTGTAACTTCGTGCTTTGTCGACATCGCGGCATTGCTTGATCATCCCAACAACTAGCAGCACTAGCATTGCAGCCAGATACGCCCACCACGCTCCTGGCACGGAATAAATCCAAGGCTCTCTGCCTCTCATAACGTATGAATGGAAGCGATTAATGTCGTCACTACGTGGATACTTGCCAGCGAAATAGCCGATACCCCACACTGCTGTTATTGAGCCCACGAGACTGCTAGCAACTATGGCAAACGGACGTACTAGCAGCCACGCGAGCATTCCACCCAACACCACAACTGCCCCGTTAAGTACAGCGCTAGATTCACCCGGCAGCATACGATACGGAAGTGATGAAGTGAACGCGTAGGCCAGTATAGACCCCACCAAAAACACGCCTAACGGGAAGAATGCCAGCGCCACGCAACCTCCAGCAGCTCCCATAACAACGAAGCCGATCCATGAAGCTGCGAGTACCCACGTCTTCAATCCGAAAGTGTTCTCAAACGCCACTGAGACTAACAATCCAATGACGAGAAATCCAGAAAGGAAAATCATCAACCGCAGCAGTCGAAAGCCATAGAGACACACGACAAGCCCCGAGAAGATCGCAAACTCAGCAACGACACCTGGTTCGATGTGGAGATGATCAGGAAAATAACCCCGAGGTCGAGTATGCCCACACACATGTAGCACACACAGCGCGAGAATTAAAGCGATAGCGTTGAGACGCATGTTTTCTTCTCGTCAAAGTGGATGCTTTTCAGTAAAACGAGAAAAGTAGGAAAAGTGGGACGAGGATCAGCATCACATCCATCGGAGTGCCTATAGTAATAGCTGAGGCGAAGGGGTGTATAATTATTCTAGACCAGTCCGGGAAGTGCTTGCATGGCGGCGAGCGTCGTGGATCGAGGGTCTAAAGGTGTCGCTGTGCAGGTGAGAACAAACAAAGGGTGAGCATAGTTCTTTATTTTATTAATGTACTTGATTTGGTACATTCTAGATGCATGCGTACATTGGTTCACCATCCGCAACACCAGGTACGTTGGCTCTGGCATTCGAGGTCGTCTACAATGATAGGTAAAAAATAATGGTAACTGTTTTTTTTTTCTTTTCTACAGTAGACAACTCTGCACTGCGGGTGAAAGACGGCAAGCGAATCGAAATTGCGAATGACTCGACAGGCGAGGTATAGTATTCCTTTGTCAGGAATCCAAACACTGGTAAATGATAACCTATTTTCTGTCAAGCAGACTTTGGCGCTACAACTGGATCATGTCTATCAGGAGGCAACGGAAGCAGATGTAGTAGAAAGGTCGATGCGATCTCTCGTTGCTGCGTGTGTGGAAGGTGTGAACGTCTCCGTGCTCGCAGTTGGTTCTGCTAAAGCACAGAAGAGCCGAGTGCTGTTTTCGCCCATGCTGGACCAAAGCTTAGCTGTAGCAATCTTCCAGACTCTGTTCGACACACTTCAAAACAAAATCGTGGCGCTGAATAATAACACCGGTGGGTCAGTAGTGAAAAATAGTGGTATTTCCAGCGCCAGGAAGAATCAAACTCTCTCCTCCGCGACTTTTTCGCTGTGTGTGTCGTTCGCTGAGCTGTTTGAAGAATCAATTACGGTATGTACGAAGCGTTCTTGCTTGTTTGGTGTAGTTCATAAAAAATGTTCGAGGTTAGGATCTCTTAGTACCAAGAGACAGCAGACAAGATCTATTCATCGAGGACGACCCAGCACTGGGAAAGATCGTCAAGAACTTGACCCAATCAGCACCCCTAACGTCTATCGGAAGCTTCCGCCAACTATTAGACGCTGGCCTCAGTGTCAGACGCAGTACCAACGGTCAGTACGGCAATTTATCCGAGTTTACCGGTGCCGTCTTACGGGTAAGTGTACACTTTGTTGAGTGTGGGTCCTGTAGATTTCCTAACTGCTATGGTTCAATCACAGATCTCCGTCAAGCAGACGTTTAGTTTCCTGGAAGCGCCAACGCAAGAGCTTCACTCGCTCTTCGACATTGCGGACTTACCAGCTACTGATCGTCTCACACGCGTACGTAGTATGCAGTTTTCCCAATTTTTTTTATAGCTAAACAAATGCATTTGATTTTTTAGTCCGGTACAGCAGTACGATTGTCGGAGGGGCCATTGTTGAACAAGTCCTTATTCGCACTGCAGGACGTAGTTGAGAGTTTAAGTAGAAGCACGGACGAAGGTCCCGTTCATTATCAAGGTTCACAGCTCACAACTCTGCTTCAAGATGCGCTAGGAGGTAATTGCCTCACCTTCGTGTTACTGTGTTTGAGTCCTGGCGATATGAAAGGATCAACCGCTACACTGCAGCTTGGTAAACTGCTGTCTCGGGTGTGCACGTTTCCTGTTGTAAACAACGACATGCTTCGAGGTCTGCGGCGCCGTCAGTTCACGATGCAAAAACACCCAACGGTTGTTACAGGAGATCTGGTAGACTACGAGCGCCGACTTCACGACTTGGAGGGGAAGTTGGCTCAAAACGGACTGGAACGTCGAATGTTGCGTGAAGATAAAGACGCACTTACAGCGCAGTTAGGGGAGCTACGCGTTAAGTATCGCGAGCTGTTCGACAACGAGTTATCTCTCCGTACTGAGTTGCTGGCCTGCGAACAGGACAAGTTGGCATTAAGTAAAGCGTTCGTAGCTTTCCAGTTGGAGCGCGATACTCAACTACAGCAGCTTGACAGTGACAAATTCGAGGCTGAAACTCGACTTATTAAGGCTGAACAACTCGTCGTTGAGATCCAGCAAGACGACGCCACCAAAGCGGAACAGATCCAGGATTTGTGTGCTAAAATGAACGAACTGGTAGCTGACAAGACTCGACTAGGTGTAGAGCTATCCATGCTGCAGAAAGCAGTAAAATCTGCGGAGAATTCTCGTGATGCTGAAGCCAAGCAGAATCAGCAGCTCAGTCTGGAGTTGATCGTCGCAGTCAATCAGAAGCAGAAGTTCCAGAGTGAAATGGAGACGCTTGCTACGCAATTACGCACTCGTCAGTCTCAACTTGATGAGCAGCAGGGTGAATGCACAAAACTTCGGTCAGATAATGAAGAACTGCGACGCGAAGCCACGGAATTCGAGGCAAAGCTTGAAAGTATACGCAAAGATCTGGTACGTCGCGAATTGGAGCTGGAACGGGTAGAATTGGCGGCCAAGAAGGAGCAACTTGAGACGCAGCAGGCAGGACGAGACGCTGATAATATTCGCGAACGTACAGTTAACCAACTGAGTGACGAGCTGGAGATTCAGCGATCGGCGTTTGCAGCGGATAAACGTTCGCTGGAAGTTCAACTGGAGCGTGTACAGCACGAGTTGGTTCGTGAGAATCGCGAGAAACAACTTGCTAGTGCAGCTTTGAAGTCCAAGAACGAGGAGAATGAAGAGCTTGTGCTGGCTTTGGAGCGCGCACGTCATGACCTGCAAGCGCAACTTGAGACTTTCCGGTTAAAACTCGCGCTCCTGCATCAATCAGGGAATGACACTGAGGCCGGTACAGGCATTCAAGCTCTGCGAGAACTGCTAGCGTCGTACCAAGTGCGGGAAAAAGAACTTCGCTACGAACTTGACAGTACACGAAATGCTAGTTGGCGTTTGACGCGACGTCTTCGAGAATCTGCTGAGCCACAAAATGGCGAGGAAACGCATGCTGTAGATGAAATGGAGCGACTTCGTGAGCGTCTTGATGCTGCAGAACAGCAACTAGCAGTCGAGATGCAGCAGCGATCGGAACAAGCACTTGCACTTGCAGGGCTTGAGGCCCAAAACGCGAACCTACTACGTGAGCAGAAGGAGAGACAGCAACACGAACAAACCGTACCAACTAAAGACAACGACACTGGGGTCCGTGAAGTGCACGCAGAACTCGCTCGCCAGCTTGAAGAAGTTCGACGCCTCACTCTCCAGCAAACAACGCATGCCACGCAACAGATAAGCTCCAACAACGCAGACCTCAGTGAGCTAGAAACGCTGCGTGCAGCCAAGACCCAACTCGAATCACGTTTGGCAAGTACCAAAGCGCACTGGATGACGTTGCTGGAACAAGTTGAGCGCCGCTGCGCTGAGTTACTCACCAAAAACGTGATGCTCACAGAGGACAACGACAACCTTCGCAAACATCTCACCAAGATCATGAAGCGTACCAGACCAGATTAAATCAAAACAAAGAAACTACGTACTGAATTAACCACGAAAAACGAATGCGCCACTAAAATACTTACGGGTGGCGCTATAGCTTAGCTACCATCGCGTAGCTGTGTAGTATCAACGCAACAGCGTTGGATAAAGCCTTGGACGATAACATGACGACACCATGTTGACGTCTACGGATGAATGTTGTTGCTACGTAGCTGGAACGAGTCATATTGCCGCGTCCCCCAGGCGTTGTAGCTCTTACGTATCAGCTGGTCCACACGGTGTCGGATATCTCGTCGCGAAAGACCGACACATAAACGCGTCCGTAAACTGGTAATTACACGCGCCAATTTAGCACCGTGGAAACAAGGGAATGGGGAATGCTGGCCTGTTGTTTGCAGCAGTGCAGCGATCTCTGAGTGATATTTCTGAAGCACCACAAAGCCCTCGTACAAACAGTTGCGGAAATGCTTGTAGCCATGTGATCCCAAACCTCCCATTACGTCAACCATCTCCTTCGTAAGTTTGAACGGGGCGTCTTCAACACTGAACATGCCTCCAGGAGCGATGCCTAGGATGAAGCCGAAGTCGATGTGAATCACGCGGCCCTCTGAACTGAGCAAGATGTTGCCATTGTGACGGTCCTTAAGCAGCAGAACGTAGCTCACGATGGAGTACGCAGCCATGCTTTCAATAAACCGACGCTGCGCAGCGATAAACTCCGAGCTCAACGTGTCGCTGCCGTACACACTGCGAAAGTAGTCAGCCAAATTCCCTCCTGGGAACGTCTTCTTGAGGTGGTCCAGCGAGCAAGCGTCTGTAATTGTCTCCAGTAGGCCGATATTAGCTCCAGTGGCGACGATACGGTAAGTGCGCAGCCACAAGTGTGGCGCCTCAAACTCGAAAATGGACTTGAGCTTGTGGATAAGCTGCATCGTGAACACTTCTTGTCTCAAGTCGTCGTTAGTCTTAACGATCACCGAGAAGAGGTCCCATCCAGGCAGTTTCCCCATCGGTGACTCGCTCTGGATACGGGCTTTGCGCTCCTCCCAACTCTCGCCAAATATCTTGCTGTCATACACAAAGTTCTCGACACCTAGACG